AAACACCATCACTTCTAATGTCTTATAAATCACGCCGGTAAAGTCTTGTTTGCTGCTTTCTCAAATACATCAGCTATCTGCAAGAGGTACTTGGTGATCAGCCCTACAAACAGTACAAAATACGAAAAATTTTTTGCTGTTGTTTCTGTGTAACTTTGCAACAAGGTGATGACGTATAAGTGGTGAAATTTAGAAATTTGGAAAAACTTATTCTGATAACTTTCTCAGTTTGATCCATCAAAATCGCATTTAAAAATGCAAGCTTTTTCAAAAAGAAACTTCACTTGCACGTGGGTCGAATTCTTAACTTTTCAAGAAATGCTGAGTTAGAAAATACGTTCTCGGGAATATGTATAGGCATACAACATGCGTTTTTCTTTTTGATATTTAAAATAATTACTTTTGAAAGTGTATATCCATCAGAGTTGCACTATTCAGTTATTCCAAAATCTATTCCCAATTATTTTTTCTGTTCTTATCCGAATTTGGATTTATTGATAAAACTTTCTCTACCTTCCGACTCTGCTTGCATAATATTGAGTTATGGCAGACACCCCTTGGGTGTCATCTTGTGGTTAACACTCATATAATGGTCCTGCCCGAGATAACATGCCGAGACAAAACTTGGTCGCGTTTGTTATTTCAGTGTATTTATGACCTTGGAATGAAGTTACTTCTGACTAGGAGTTTTTGATTGACGATAAGCAAGTTGGTCACATGTTTCAAATAAAATTTTTTTTTACTTCATGATAAAATGGATTTAAATATCGAAATACTTTTCGTAATTAATAAATTGCTGTCCAGGTGCAGTGACCTCAAAGATGAGGACTCTAAAAATGCGCTCTTCTTTGACCTCTATAACTCTCTGAATTCAAGATGTTTTCAAATGTGTCCGTTAAATCAACTAAATCCTCGGTAGTTTTGCTTTCTTTGTTTAAAACTAAAGAAAATTTATTTTTGTTATGATAGTGCTATGTGTGATAAAGAATTACACCTTCTGGCAGTTTTTAAAATGGAACAAATATGTTGTACAAAGGAAAGATGTAACTGTTACAAAATATTTTTAATACAAAAACATGGCCGACGTGCATGTTTGTACAGGCACGCAAGCACGGTAATCTTGACATCAATGACTGCATGGCTATCAAGCATTATTGTTCAAGTGTAGCTACGTTTCTATGGTATTTCAAAATCATCATGATCAATTAAAATTTATTGTTCACATATTTTAGAACCAATTAGCTGCGACTTCAGTCAGTTGGGCCTGAAGGAATGTATTCTGGCATGATGGCTGAACGTGGTTTACTTACGGTCACGATTTTTGCTATGCTGTCTATCAGTCAAGGTGAGTGTAAATAGAGTTAAGGCAATAGGAGGGGTAGGTGCGTAGTTGCTCAGAGGCTGGCATTGATCAGGAAACTACATGTTCTCTGTTGCTTCTCAGAGAGGCTTAAGCAAGGTGGCTCACTTGACTTTTTAAATTTCTTTTAACACATTAATTCTTTCTGGATTGCCTCCTCTACACTTTTTTGTTTGTCTCCTTGAAAGTTGTAGTCCAAAAAAGTCCAATAATGCTAAACTAATCGTTGCGATCAGTTTCTTGGAATATATGGTTGCCACATCGAAAGCAAGGCCTTCTAAAAAAAATCCTTATTTCATGCTTTATGCGCATGTCATTCGAAACCGAGATCAGTTGCCCCATTTTCAATCGACATTCAGTCAAAATACCAAGATTCTTTCGGCAAACTTTGGAAACAAAAAATCATATTTAGTTGAGCGCTTCCCTTCTATTTTAATAGTTTTGGGATGGCTCATGCAGACTTTATATTTTTTTGAAATTTTGCAAAAAGATTAGTCTTACTTTCTTGGTAATAATTCAGTCGTAAAAGGGTTTACTGAACTCGCTTTGAGTTACAAGGAGAGGAAGCTTAATTGTGGGGAGTTAACTGTAGCTATGCCGAAACCCTGTATGTGCAAAAAGTTGAAGTAGTTAGGATTTTTAACACTTTTTCCAAGGGTATAAACCAAAAAAATAGGTAGTTAAGACTGGTTAAATGCTGGACTGCGTTTGGCTACTACTGCTGCATCCCACATATTTATGAGTCAGGCTTGTTCCACTGGGTAAAGATGATTTAAGAATTTAGTGACTAATTGACACTCAAACGTCAGTAATTAAAAGGTAACAAATAATCATATTAATAGTAATAATGATTATAATGATAATAATAATAATAATGATAATAATAATGATAACAATAGTAATAATGGTGATAGCTCATAGGGGCTAGCTCAAGAACCTCACCGAATAAATTAAAGATTTTCGAAGTGTCCATGATGTGCAGATTAAGTCAACTTAGGTATTTCTGAGAGGAAAAGTGTTTTTTTTTCAATTTCGTGAAATTATTTTGAGATGTTATCGTCTTCTGTGGTGTTACGGCAAGAACTGAGAAAAAACTATTTATTCGGATCTACTTGGCATAATTCACCGATTTGGACGGTAAAATACTCTCTCTCCAAAGAAGAAAATTTTTCTTTAAGTTTCAGCCATACGCCGATCACACCTTTTAAAGGGAAAGTGCGGTCTAGAAAAAATTTATCCCGATTAGAAGAATTTTTCCTCAGGAGTTCGAAAATAACTGCCATTTTGTCTAGTTTGCTTTGTATTAGCGACAACAGCGCTTCAAAGTTGCCCATTTTTACAACTTTCGTGGTTAGAAAAACGCCATCTTGGATATATTATGTCATTGTGGCGTAGCAATAGTCAAACTTAGTTCGGCACTTTGTCCTTGTTGACTGGTTTGACCTTTTGTAAAAACAATTTCTAATTCGCCAAATAGTTGAAATGAGGTCAACTGTCCTCTATTTGAAAGTCAAAATACATACTAAAATTCAAAAGGAAAAGGTGTAAGCCTCCACAAGCTACCGGAAAGTGAAATATTAAAGAAAAGTTAGCCGGCAAAAATAACCCGCGACGATGGCTTGCGGAACCCTGTAAAACCTCAGAACTTCCAAAACAAAGACTTCCAGCGAGATATACAAGCATGTAAGTTTTCCTTGTTGACCTTCGCTTCGAGCTGAAAGCTATGCTTACCTCTTCCATATTCAATACAGCTCTCAGTTATTTATTCTATAAGTTCTTTCAAACCATTTTATAGTAAGCGAATAAATTGAAGCTCGTAATGGTGGTACACCGTGCGTGGTAAATTTTCAGTCGCCACCCTTAGCCAAAGCCGTTTTCAACATCATGCGCTTTACCAAGCAGTGTACAAATTAATATATCTTGTCTTTCCTAAGTCTGTTATGAGTCCATCGAGTAAATTTTCTTTACCCCAATAGTCACATTCTCCTGCGAATAAAAAACTTCATGACATTTAATACATCTCTAGCAAATTGTCAAGACAGACACGTTTGCGACTAATACAAATTATCCTTCGTCAGGCAGGCGCCCATAATTCACTATATCACATCGATTGGACACGATAAAAATGATATGAAAATGTTTATGTCTTCCAACCAACTACTTGACGTAATTATGCAGTGCTTATGCTTTCAAAAGAAATCGAAAGTTATATTTTAGCCTCAGATATATTAAGGTAATTTCAAACATTTTAGAATGAAAAATATTGCGTTTAAGCTAATCTTAAGCAATAAAGATAAAAAACACCATTGCGAATTAAAGGTGAAGTCTGAAATAAACAAAAATTTGTATATTGGGTAATCACATGATTTCTAGTGCATTTTGAAATAAATAAGCACGAGTAAATTTTTTCAAAGACTAACAAAATTGCATGAGCCCATAGGGCGAGCGCAATTTTTTGAAAATATTTACAAGTGCTTATTTATTCCAAATTGCACGAGAAAATCACATGATTATCTATTAATGATATACATGAAAAAATACGAGGTAACTTCATAACTACGCAGAAGAAAAGTGCGCGCATCACATGCAGAAATAATTTATTCAAACCCTGCAAGTGACATTGACCTTGACATTGACATTGACCTTGACATTGACCTTGAAATTGACCTTGACATTGACCAATCATTCTGACCAATCAGTGTCTGGTTTCTTTCTTTCTTTGCACTGAATTAACCCTCTTCTGCACTGAATGAACTCTCTTCTGCACTGAATTAACAGAAAACTGCATTCATCTTAACCAATCCGAACTGAGTAATTTTCTCATGCATACTATTAGTATAGGTAATCACATGATTTCGAGTGCAATTTGGAATAAATAAGCATTTGTTAATATTTTCAAAATTGCACTCGAAAAAATTTACAAGTGCTTATTTATTCCAAATTGCACGAGAAAATCATGTGATTATGTCTTGATAATATATATGAAAAACTACGAGGTAGCTTCTCATAACTACGCAGAAGAAAAGCGCGCAAAAATAATTTATTCAAACCCTGCAAGTGACATTGACATTGACATTGACATTGACCAATCATTCTGACCAATCAGAATGTCTGGTTTGTTTCTTTCTTTGCACAGAATTAACCCTCTTCTGCACTGAATTAATTCTCTTCTGCACTGAATTAACTGAAAACTGCATTCATCTTAACCAATCCGAACTGAGAAACTTTTTCATGTATATATTTGAGTTCGTAACGATTAACTTCTGCCTTTTGTCGCCATTAATTTTGGCAGCTAAGTGTTTGTAGCAGTTCGTCCTGGATCTATTTTTGGTTCCAGTTACCAATCGCTTCTCTGATCTCTCTTTCGGCCCCAACGAAATTGGTTCCGTTGTCGAAGTAAAAACATTTAGGTGGTCCCCTTCGATCATGAATCTCCTAAGAACGTTCATGAAGCAATTCGATTCTAAGGAAGAAGCCAAATCCAGATGAACCGCCCTAGAGTTCAAACAGGTAAATATTGCACCCCATCTCTTAACTACTGCTCTCCTTCTCTTGACGTTTAATGGGCCGAAGTAGTCAACTCTAGTGAGAGTGAAGCATGGCTCGTAAGCTGTAGTGCGAAATGCTGGTAAGGCAGCCATCATCTGCTCCATTTTGGTTGCCCTCTGTTTCTTGCAAGTAAGGCAGGACCGCACAACTTCAAATCTTCTGTTGTTAGGTACTTGGCAATGCTGTTGCTGCCATTACGATGCACCAGGTAGGCTTTGAACTTCAACAGCCAGGCTATCTTTCGTTGTAGCACTGTCCAGGAAGAGTACCTCACGAGCAGTTCGTGCAACTTGTGTGAATCTGACAAGGTGAATATAGGCTTCTCATTCTTGAACTCCGGGTTGTCCTCTGACAGCTTGCCAACTTCAGCCTGAGGCCATTCTTCCTCAGCCTTTGACAAAAAGGCTGGACCACTGAACCACCTCTGACTACTCAGAAGTTGGCGTGCTGAAAGCCCACGAGATTCGTCGTCAGCCGTGTTAAGAGCCCCGGGGCAGTGTTTGCACTGGTTCGGTTGAGATACGTTTCTTATCTCAGCAACCCGGTTGGCAACGTAGGTCTCGAATCTACAAGAGTCGCTATTGATGTACTGCAGCGTGATCCTAGAATCTGTCCAGAAGAATGAGCAAGAAATGTCCACATCAATCTCCTTTAAGATTAAACCATGAACACATACTGGAACTGTTGCCGCCTGTAATTCAATTCTTGGCACGGAGACATACATGAAGGGGGGCTGTACGACTCTTAGCCACGATGAAGGAAGAGTTCCGTCCTCTGCTTGCTTTCTCAAATAAGAGACAGTTCCATAACCAATTTCAGCTACACCACTGCATTGGTGGGACAGCCGCTATGAAAACAAAGAGGGATTTAACGTGGTTAAGCAACACCAATTCTTCCTTCTATTTTTTCCAGCCTTTCAGCAATTCTTCCGGCAACCTTTCATCCCAATGTAGCTTAAACTGCCAAGTCTTCTGCATGACTCTTTTAGCTGGAAGCAGCACTGGCCCAATCATCCCAAGTGGATCAAACGTGGAGCTTATTGTCGATAAACATCCTCTTCTTGTGTCGTCGTCCATCTGCTTTCACAACAGCGCTACTTTCACTCCAAACGTGTCCGTTTCGGTGTCCCACTGCAACCCTAGTGCTCTCTCAATTGGAAGCTTATCCAAATCAAGACTTTTGACAGTTCTTCCTTCTGCTGGAATGGCTGATAATACTTCTTTCCCGTTGGAAACAAATTTGGTCAGGCGAAAGTTCCCTTTCCGTAACAACTGTATTAGCTGTAGTGATACCTTAATTGCACGTTCTCTAATAGGAACTGAAAATAAGCAATCATCCACGTAGAAGTTCTTGGACACAACTTCACACACGGCGTTTTTCAAACTCTGTTCTATTGTCAGTGGCCGTTCTCTTCAGAGCCCAAGCAGCAATACAGGGAGAATCTTCCTCTCCGAACAAATGCACAGTTATCTTGTGATCACTTGGTGGTTCTTCAAGACCTTCACCTCACCACAAGAACCGTAAGGCATCTGTGTCCTCCTCTGCACAAGCTTCTCTGTGAAACATACTCTCAATTTCAGATGCTACAGCTACCTGATCCTTTCTAAATCAATACAGCACTCCAATGAGTGAGTTATTCAGCTGGGGACCTTGTAACAGTTTCTTGTTAAGTGAGGTTCCACCATACTCTGCATCTGCATCATACACCACTCGGACTTTAGCCTTTTTCGGATTGACAACACCATGATGGGAAAGATACCATGTACGTTCACTGGTAGAAGCTGATTCATCTTTAGACAACTTGACAGCGTATCCCTTGGCGATGTAGTCATCCATCCCTACTTTGTATTACGCAGCAAACTCTGGGTTGCACTCAAACCGTTTCTTTAATTGTTTCAATCTCTTCTCCGCTAAGGACTGGTTGTTTGGCAGCTGGGAGCTATCGGTTCGCCACAAGAGGCCAACTTCATATCTTCCATGTTTCAGTTTAGTTGAACTCTTTAAGGTCTCTAGTGCCTTCTTGTCTTCAATGCTGTAGGCACTGTCACCAGCATTTCCAAATCCATAACACTCAGAGGCCCACAACCTCTCTACCTGCTGATGGAGATCCTTGGCTGACTCTNGAAAATCATGTGATTATGTCTTGATAATATATATGAAAAACTACGAGGTAGCTTCTCATAACTACGCAGAAGAAAAGCGCGCAAAAATAATTTATTCAAACCCTGCAAGTGACATTGACATTGACATTGACATTGACCAATCATTCTGACCAATCAGAATGTCTGGTTTGTTTCTTTCTTTGCACAGAATTAACCCTCTTCTGCACTGAATTAATTCTCTTCTGCACTGAATTAACTGAAAACTGCATTCATCTTAACCAATCCGAACTGAGAAACTTTTTCATGTATATATTTGAGTTCGTAACGATTAACTTCTGCCTTTTGTCGCCATTAATTTTGGCAGCTAAGTGTTTGTAGCAGTTCGTCCTGGATCTATTTTTGGTTCCAGTTACCAATCGCTTCTCTGATCTCTCTTTCGGCCCCAACGAAATTGGTTCCGTTGTCGAAGTAAAAACATTTAGGTGGTCCCCTTCGATCATGAATCTCCTAAGAACGTTCATGAAGCAATTCGATTCTAAGGAAGAAGCCAAATCCAGATGAACCGCCCTAGAGTTCAAACAGGTAAATATTGCACCCCATCTCTTAACTACTGCTCTCCTTCTCTTGACGTTTAATGGGCCGAAGTAGTCAACTCTAGTGAGAGTGAAGCATGGCTCGTAAGCTGTAGTGCGAAATGCTGGTAAGGCAGCCATCATCTGCTCCATTTTGGTTGCCCTCTGTTTCTTGCAAGTAAGGCAGGACCGCACAACTTCAAATCTTCTGTTGTTAGGTACTTGGCAATGCTGTTGCTGCCATTACGATGCACCAGGTAGGCTTTGAACTTCAACAGCCAGGCTATCTTTCGTTGTAGCACTGTCCAGGAAGAGTACCTCACGAGCAGTTCGTGCAACTTGTGTGAATCTGACAAGGTGAATATAGGCTTCTCATTCTTGAACTCCGGGTTGTCCTCTGACAGCTTGCCAACTTCAGCCTGAGGCCATTCTTCCTCAGCCTTTGACAAAAAGGCTGGACCACTGAACCACCTCTGACTACTCAGAAGTTGGCGTGCTGAAAGCCCACGAGATTCGTCGTCAGCCGTGTTAAGAGCCCCGGGGCAGTGTTTGCACTGGTTCGGTTGAGATACGTTTCTTATCTCAGCAACCCGGTTGGCAACGTAGGTCTCGAATCTACAAGAGTCGCTATTGATGTACTGCAGCGTGATCCTAGAATCTGTCCAGAAGAATGAGCAAGAAATGTCCACATCAATCTCCTTTAAGATTAAACCATGAACACATACTGGAACTGTTGCCGCCTGTAATTCAATTCTTGGCACGGAGACATACATGAAGGGGGGCTGTACGACTCTTAGCCACGATGAAGGAAGAGTTCCGTCCTCTGCTTGCTTTCTCAAATAAGAGACAGTTCCATAACCAATTTCAGCTACACCACTGCATTGGTGGGACAGCCGCTATGAAAACAAAGAGGGATTTAACGTGGTTAAGCAACACCAATTCTTCCTTCTATTTTTTCCAGCCTTTCAGCAATTCTTCCGGCAACCTTTCATCCCAATGTAGCTTAAACTGCCAAGTCTTCTGCATGACTCTTTTAGCTGGTAGCAGCACTGGACCAATCATCCCAAGCGGATCAAACGTGGAGCTTATTGTCGATAAACATCCTCTTCTTGTGTCGTCGTTCGTCAGCTTTGACAACAGTGCTACTTTCCTTTCACTCCAAACGTGTCCGTTTTGGTGTCCCACTGCAACCCTAGTGCTCTCTCAATTGGAAGCTTATCCAAATCAAGACTCTTGACAGTTCTTTTTTCTGCTGGAATGGCTGATAATACTTCTTTCACGTTGGAAACAAATTTGGTCAGGCGAAAGTTCCCTTTCCGTAACAACTGTATTAGCTGTAGTGATACCTTAATTGCTCGTTCTGTAGTAGGAACTGAAAATAAGCAATCATCCACGTAGACGTTCTTGGACACAACTTTACACACGTCGTTTCCAAACTCAGTTCTATTGTCAGTGGCCTTTCTCTTCAGAGCCCAAGCAGCAATACAGGGAGAATCTGCCTTTCCGAACAAATGCACAGTCATCTTGTGATCACTTGGTGGCTCTTCAAGACCTTCACTCCACCACAAGAACCGTAAGGCATCTGTGTCCTCCTCTGCACAAGCTACTTTGTGAAACATACTCTCAATGTCAGATGCTACAGCTACCTCATCCTTTCTAAATCGAAACAGCACTCCAATGAGTGAGTTATTCAGCTGGGGACCTTGTAACAGTTCCTTGTTAAGTGAGGTTCCACTATACTCTGCAGCTGCATCATACACCACTCGGACTTTAGCCTTGTTCGGATTGACTACACCATAATGGGAAAGATACCATGTACGTTCACTGGCAGAAGCTGATTCATCTTTAGACAACTTGACAGCGTATCCCTTGCCGATGTGGTCATCCATAACTGCTTTGTATTGCGCAGCAAACTCTGGATTGCGCTCAAACCGTTTCTTTAATTGTTTCAATCTCTTCTCCGCTAAGGACCGGTTGTTTGGCAGCTGGGAGCTATTGGTTCGAAACGAGAGGCCAACTTCATATCTTCCATGTCTCAGTTTAGTTGAACTCTATAAGATTTCTAGTGCCTTCTTGTCTTCAATGCTGTAGGCGCTGTCACCAGCATTTCCAAATCCATAAGACTCAGAGGCCTAGAACTTCTCTACTTGCTGATGGAGATCCATGGCTGACTCTTCCACCACCCAATCGAATTCAAAGACAGAAAGTGCAATTGGCTTACTATCGTCCTCCCGTTTATTCGTTGGCCCAGCCACACACCATCCAAATGGGGTCTTGGTTGTATATGGCTTCTTCATTAGGATGTCTCCCCAGCAATAGTCCAGCACTGTGTGCGCCTGTGGCACATCTTGACCAACAAGGACTGAGACTTTGTTCACATCGACAGGAATGTTTGGGAACTCTAAACCTTTTAGGGAGGGCCATTGTGACAGGTCCAGCTGTTCTGGGCAATAACTGGTCGACACATTTAAGCTTTCTACGACTAAAGCTTGAGAGACAGGAGAGAAAGGTCCATCACAACTTGTTGGGTGGATCAAGAATTTAACCTTGGTTAGTTCGCAGTCATAATTCTTGTGTGTTAATGTTAATGCTCACTTTCTCTGGGATTCCTTGAAGTTGGAGTCTCTCAGCAAGATGACGGGTGATCAAGGGGCTGACAGCAGCAGTGTCTAAAAGACCATTTTATTTATTTATTTATTCAAATTCGATTACACAGATAATCAAAACAAAAACAAAAACAAGGATTTAAATATATATACAAGTATAAAAAAGAGATATCTGAGTAATTAGGCCAGTGTCTACAGAATTCTAGATTCCTTATTTTAAATAAACTGCCTGTTATAAAATACAAAACAATTAAAAACTAACTTAGACAAATAGCAACAACACTGCGTAATCAAAAATTATAAAAATTTATCCTTACTTAAGTTAAATTTACTGATATAAAACTGATTCACCTTCTTGCTAAACAATGATACTCGATCAATTGTCCTAATAGCTACAGGCAGGTCATTCCATAAATCCACAATGCGATTAAAAAATGAGAATTTAAAAACATTGGTTCTAAAGCGACCCTTGGCAAGTATGGCTTCTGTGTTCCTCATATCGTACTTATATGATTTGAAGCTAACATATGATAGGACGTCAAAATCAACGTGCCCCTTCAGACATTTAAAAAAGAAACATAAATCTAAAACCTCCCATCTAAACTCGAGAGGCAAAAGACCTAATTTTAGTAAACGTTCTGGATAAGTTAAATCACATTTCAAGATAAATTTGGTGGCACGCCTTTGAACACGCTCAAGGGCCTTAATTTTTTCTTTAGTATAGGGAGACCAAACTTGAGATGCGTACTCCAGCTGCGGTCGTACCAACGATTTTTATAGAATCAACATACTTTTTTGGTCGCAATCAATGGTGCACGTTCTGTAGATAATACCCAACATCTTATTTGCTTTTCTTATAACAAAGTCAATGTGATCATTCCAGGATAAATTCGAAGAAACATAAACGCCTAGATCTTTCTCAGTTGAAACGACTGCAACCTGTGACCCGCTCAGATTATACGATGTGTGCATAAAACTCTTTTTAATTGTCACGACCAGGTGCTTACACTTATTAGCGTTGAAATTCATGAAATGCTCAGATGACCAACAAGTTAAGCTTAGTAAGTCTCTTTGTAGTTGAACTGCGTCTGCACCGTTATCAATAACTCGATAACACTTCATATCATCCGCATAGAGTTGGACAGTAGTCTTAGCATCTGTCACACTTGAGGCACTGTTAATATATATTATAAACAACAAGGGTCCCAGGATAGACCCCTGGGGCACACCGGATGAAATAGGTAGCAAAGAAGATGCTCGGCCATCTATAACGATCTGTCAGATAACTTCTAAACCAAGATAGCAAGTTCACTCTTATACCAACGCCATACCGTTCCCTTAATAATAAGTGTGTGCCAACATATGTGCTAACAACGGTTCCATTCTCAGCCACAACACGTAGTGGGACCACCTTCAGCAACACAAAACTGCGCTTTGAATCCTCCATAGTTGCACTGTTTACAGGTAGGTCCATCCTTGCTTGGGGGTTTTGATCAACATTCCTTTCATCAACGATCTCAGGCGGTGTCACCCATGGTACGTGTAACAGTGAATAA